CAAAGTTATTTGCAATTAGCAACAGAAATAAGTTGAAAAGATCAAGTAAAATAAAAAAAACATTAAAACTATGCAATAAAAGTAAAATACAAAATTTTATTTAACATTTAAATATTTTGTAAAAATACAAGGATAAAAGATTAAAAAAATTATAAAAAAACAAGACCCAAAAAACATCTCTAGATAAGAAAATGATTTGTATTAGGTGTATATTTCAAAATTAAAAAAAAAAAAAAAAAACACCTATAATTACAATCGAAGTTCATAAAAGAAATCTTAAACGAGTTCCAATATTAAAAATGTTCTGCCATTAATAATGTTCTTCCATAGCTGTTAACTCTTACTGAAATAAGTGCTTGCTTTATGTTAGTTTTTGCTCTATTATTTTTTTACTTTTTATTAATCCTTGAATATAAGTATTTTACAAATAAATATTTTAAAACTAGCTTATATTTCAAGGTTACAATATTTTAAATGCCTTTAATATATTGTATAATATTTTATTATATTTTTAATAAAAATATATATATATATATATATATATATATATATATATATATATATATATATATATATATAAATATATATTTATATATATTTATATATGTATATATATATATATATATATTTATATATATATATCTGCAATATATGTATATATATATATATATTTATATATATATATCTGCAATTGTTGGTGCAAAATTATTTTTTAGGATGAGTATGTACACGATTCCATTGCTGTTAAGATTGCAAATGAAATTTTATCCGATCCTGACAGCACAAACATTAAGATGTTTTGCAAAGTACTGAATCATTTAAATATTTGTCCGCGAAATAAATCAGTTATATCAGATTTGATAATGTTGACTTCGAAAATACAAAAAGTAGGGTTTTTATACATACAATAATATGAATATAATATTATTGTAATATTAATTATAGTATATTATAAATATTATTATTATATTGTATTAGTAGTTAATAGCATTAGAGTAGAAACATTTTTTAGTTGACACTAGCAACAAAGTAATGACATTTCTAATAGTTTAAATATAATTGTCAATAGTAACATAATAATTACATATTTTTTTAGTTAGAAATCATAAATTGATAACAAAATATTTCAGTAGTTAGCAACTAATTATTGACAATATTTTTAGGTATTATGTAAAAATCGAGTAGCTAAAAAAATGGTTGATCGTTTTGCTAATCATCTTCAACATCTTTTGGTCATTGAAGGTATATCAGAAAGATTTTTTTGTTCTTTGATTTTTAACTTTAGATTGTTTATACTTAACAAAATTTTTTCAAGTTAATATAAACATGCCTAAAATAATTAGTATACTCATTAAAATTTTCACACACATGTGAAAATTTTTTTTTTTTTTCATGTTAAATTAATGCTGCTTTTATTATTAGGGAATAGTAGCATAACTAATAACCAAACAACATCAGAAAAAATAAATGAGGAAGATGAACAAGATGAAGATGATATTGAAGATGGATCTTCAAATACTACACTGACACCACAAGAAATTATCAAAAGTGAGATTAGTTTTGATTTGATTCAAAAGTTATTTATTGATTTTTATCAAAAATTGATTGATTTATATTATATATAAGATTTTCTTTTGATGTTGATTGAAAATTTTGTAGAACCTGTTAAGTTCCCATCTAAACTTAACAGATCTACAATTAAACTTAACAGATCTACAACTAAACTTAACAGACCTACAAATATTATTTGATGTCATAATACTCTTACATTTTGATTCTTTTTTTTATATAACTTTTATCAGCTTTTAAAGGCGAAAGGAAGGATATTTTCACATATATCTAAAAATTACATATGAAAGATAATTTGAAATATGAACAAGGGTATACTTTCGTATATACTCAATTGACATGTTGACTTATAATGAGCGAAGTCTAGCTTTTTTACAGCTTAAAGTATCTTCTTTTTTTTAATTAATCTAATATAGTTTTAAGAAATACAAAAACGAATGCATACGTACGCATTACATATGCATGCCTACGTAAAGTTTTATTTTAAAATGCAAATTTACTAATATAAAAAATTTTTAATCAAATTTCATTCAGATTTCAAATTACAAAAATACTAATCTGCTAAATATAAAAAACTAAATGAATTTTTTACTCATCGCTGACTAAAAGATTCTTGTATTCATCACTGACTAAGTTTGAGATTTATAATATTACCTTTTTCAGTTTTTAAAAGCATACCACTATCATGAAAGGAATTGTTTATAAATGTTACCCGAAGATAGAATTTCGCATTGATTAGTGATAAATAACTGAAAAATTATTTAGATTATTTGATACTTTCATGCAAATATTGTAATAGTATATTTTAAACATTTTTAAAAAAATGTTTGATATATGCATTTATGAAAAGAAAAAAAAAAAACAAATATATATAAAACTCTCTCTCAATCCTAAACTGTGAAATATGAGTCTTGTGTAAACAAGATTAATACGGCTGCTGCATTGAGGAACAGGTTAGACTTCTAGAGACATGTGGATTTGAACTTTGAACCTCTAGAATGTGAACCAGGCGTTCTACTACTAGCATACTGTCGTAATTAATTTAATCAGATTGTTAACTTCGTAATGAAAAACATAATTTAAATGTTCTTAAGACAGGATTCTCGAAACTATTTTAACGTCTGAAGACAAAGTCACAAGTCTGTTGCTCCCATAACAAATAAAAATAAAAATCCAAAGAGTTCACGGTGTGATAAAAGCTTTTTTAATCATGCCTGAAAATTCTGAACATGTTCTGAATTAGTTCCAAAGGAGCAGAATAAATTCCAGTTGTTATCAAGAAGTTTCCACTGTTTCGTCCAAAAACAAAAAGTAAGTCTGAAAAACATTCAGAAACAGCTACTTATTGGTAATCAATTTGCAGGGTTTATTTACAATCTTTTTTTTATTGCCTCGCAATAAAACAGATTGTAATTGGATTTTTATTGTAATTGTTTATTGTAGTGAATTGTTGATCTTTTTATACTTTTTAATATTTAAATTAATAATACTAAGGTTGACGTTAATAAAGAAAATATCTAATAAATTTTAGAGGTAAATTTTTGTTTGATATTGTTTTTTTGATCTAGTTAAAAAAAAAAAAAATTAAATTTAAATTTTGATTTTTAATATTTTGGGTTTTGAATTGTAGAAGTTTGATATGAAGTACATGTTATCAAAAAAATCTAGTTTTATGTTTTTTTCTTGGGTTAAAGCTGAATTCTCTTAATGAGCTAAAACATACTTTGAAATTTTTTGTTTTTTAAATACATTTTAGGTCAACTTATTAGTTCATGTTCAAAGAAACATAAAACACCGACTTCTCAAAAAGTACCTCAAAAGAAAAAAATGAGAAGAGACTCTACTGAGAGGTATTTTATTCTAATTTAATTATAATATATACATTTAATATTCACATTATGTCGATTTGCTAAACGAAATAACTTATAAATGAAATAATTTTATGTAGATTTTATAATTTAAAATAAAAGCGTTTTCAACCATTTTAACTGTATGAAGAGCAAAGCTCATTCATTTTTTTATTTTTTATGAAGTAGTTACTCTAATCTGTATAAGTATGTTTTTTACGCAGTTAGGGCAGTTTGAGCAGCTTTGTAAACGTTAGGCGGTATCTCTTCAAGCATATAAAAAAATATACTTTTAACCAAGTTTTAGCAGGTTAAATTATCGTTCTAATTGTGAAAAAATTATGTAAATCCTACGCACCCTGGGCCATCCCGAAGAGGTCTTGCATGAGGTAGAGGGACTGCTGTATGTGTTTTTTATCCGACTACGCTTGGCTACGTTTCAAAACTTGCCAACTTAAATGCTAAATGTACTAATGTGCCTACTCAAATGCACATTTAACAGCTTTAGGAGGGGGGGACTTCCTCCCCCCTTTGGGATCCCCCTGCACGTACCGTTCATGAAATCTGCTAAGTTTGTTGTAAATTGTTCAACTAGCCCTGCTCTACCCTAGCATTTTAAAAGTAGTTGTTTGCTTTTGGAAACAAAAATATATATAGTTGTGAGTGTATATTATTCAACTTGTTATATAGAAGTAAGTCGCGTCATAGAAATATAAAATGTTTAAAAAGAGAATATGGAAAGAAAAGTTCTGATTTCTCGGGAAAAGGAAAATATGCGAAAGACCAAATAAAGGGACTGAAAGAAAATAGAATCGTTTCGATAGTACATTGGATATTACTTCACATCGGAATATTTCCCCCATGGAAAGCGACTATAACAATTAAAAAAAAAAGTATACTGCTGAAACTTATGTTTTTCGAGAAATTAAAACTTATTTATCTAATAACTGAAATTTGTGTTTTTCTGTTCCGTGCGTGATTCCGCTTCAAACATAATTTTTTCTGTGATAACATCACTAAAGTATACCATTTTTTGTTTACAAAATATTTATATCGATTAAAATTAAATGAGATTAGATAGGAGATCGCCAGTTTTATTTTTATGAAAATAATTGACAAAATATATACGAGATATTGTGGTATATTTTGTGTGTGTGTGTGCGCGTCCATTTGACTAGAATAACAATCTAACGGTTTTATCGTTCTTTTTAGTATCGATTTCTTCATTAAACCGTCACCAAGGTAATATTTTCATTATGATACTGCTTATGCCTCATGATTTTTTTTTAAATCTCATTGATATATTTTTTTTACTTTAGTTATTCGAATTTGTCAGAGGATGATTCATCATAAATTTTTTTAAATTGTGCTTTTTCATACAATTATCTCTCCTTTTTTTTTTTGAAATAATTAAATAAAAAGTTAACTTTCTAATTATTTCAAAAAACATTTGAATTATTGTTGTATTGATAAAATATTTATGGTCTATATGACAAACAGATTAAGATTAGTTAAAGTATATAGTAATAATAGTCAGCACTTCCTTTTTAAATTAAAAAAATCTGACTCAATGCATTAAGATGTTTACTTATTACTTTTTATCGATACTTAGTATGTGTGTGTATAAAATAATATACTAAGTATTTAATTGTTTGTATATAAAAAATTAAATAAACGTGAATTCAACTATTTGAATCTGCACTATATGAAGAACTTATTAAAATTCTGCATAAATAGTTTTGAAATTATTATTATTTAAATTTTATTTTATTTTATGAACTAATGATAATTATTTTAAATAGTAATAATAAAAATTTTTAAATAACATTAGTTGAATGGTATTATTTAACGTATTTTGGTGCACACGCATGCGCGCGCGCACAAAGGAAGGCTTAACATTCCATCTCTTGTTCATGGGATTAATCTTATTACCTCTCCCAAGGATAAGGCTATTTGCAAAGAACTTTCTTCAAATTAGACTCTTGAATCTTATGATCATTCTCTTCCTTCTATTCCAATTAAACAGGTTAACCCATTGTTAAATCACTCTAGCTTCCGTTGTTTAACTCATATCTCGATTAAATGCTTCTACGGCTTGGGTTCATACAATATTCCTGTCATTGTCTTACAAAATTGTTTTTCAAAACTCTCTTCAATTCTCTCAATAAGTGCTTGACTGAGTTTTCCTGCCTGCTTGAAAATGACTTTGTTTGTTTCAATTTTCAAAAACTCCGGTGAACATTGTGACATCCAATTATCGTCCAATCAGTCTTTTTTCTGTTATTAGCAGGGTCTTTGAGACTGATCAACAAATTTCTTACATCTCATTCTGAGCCAAATAACTTACTGTTATTTGACTTAAGATGAGACAAATAACAGTAAGTTATTTGACTTGTGAGACAAATAATACGGTTTTTAATCCTCTCGCTCTACCGCAGACTTGTTAACTGCAGAAAGATTTTATTGCGGAGAGGCCAGAGCTATTGCCCTTGTCATCTAAAGTTTTCGACAAAGTTTGGCGTGCTGGTTTTCTTCATAAGCTTGTTTCATATGATGTATCTAGAAAGGTTTTTAAAGGTTATCAACTCGTTTCTTTCTAACCGCTTTTTTAAAGTCATCCTCAAAGGCTAACACTCTTCTTTTTTTCTAGTAACTCCAAACTTTTCCGTGGTTGCTTGCAGCCTTTTTAGGAGTGAAGCAGAATTTTAAAAAAACAAAAGCGTTTCACCTTTTTGACATGTTTGTTTCCTCTAAGGCTTCAGCATTCGTGAATTTATGAAAAAAGTCACTTTACCAAAATACTTTAAGAGATACAATAATAAAATTGCTTTTCCATTACATAATCGTTCTATTAGTATACTAATAATCGTTCTACTAGTACACTAATAACCGTTCTACTAGTACACTAATAATCGTTCTACTAGTACACTAATAATCATTCTACTAGCACACTAATAATCTATCTACTAGTACACTAATAATCGTTCTTCTAATACAACTATATCGTTTAGAATATCAACAAAAACTTATAAGAATCTCATACTGTCTTGGTTTTAAATTATTTTATCATTTAAGAAAAGATTATTATTTCTCCAATCCTGCTCATCTTATATCATGCTTAAAGTGGTGGGGCACAATCGTCAATTTCTAACAATCGATTTCAATTTATTTGAAAACTCTGGTACTTGTCTTAAAAGGTTAACAGCTGGTAGTTGTAGTTTTATAAAAAAAAAATCGTGGCACATCGTTAGAGCGCTTGCTTCAGAAGCAAGAGACTAAGCATATCTCACGCTGTCGGTAAGGTAGGAGGAGTTAACTTCCTAATTAAATGCTCTTTTGTAGTGTTCTGTGACAAGACCGTTAGGTCTTCATGAGGCGCCTAAAATAAAAGTTAATAAAAAGTTTAACAAGGGTTTTATCGATACTCGATAAAGAAGTTTATACTCTTTTAAACCAACACTCAGTCTTGACACTTTCACGTTAAAAAAGCTGTTGTCAATGAGCATCAAGTTGAATGTAAATAGTCAATACAAAATTTATCAAAGCAAAACAACTGTGACTTATTTTAAATTAACTGATTTGTCTATGACAAATTAATGTCTTTTTGCATTGACATTAATTTTAATTGACCTTGCTGAGAGTATTGACAATCATTTTGTTTCAACCCAGCGGTTAGTGTTTAGATGTTCAGTTTAGTGTTCAGTGGCAAATTGAGGTTTAGCGTCACGGGAAAGAGAGGCGGATAGGGAGAGGCGTAGGATTGATTATGAGACAACAAGGGTTGAAGGTGGCACATTACCCCTAGAAATGGTTTTTCGAAATCGCACTAGTGATAAATATATTTTATCAACGCTTTTATGTGAATTTTATCATAACTATTACGTACGAATAAGACATTAACCGCTAGGTTGAAATAAAATGATTGTCCATGCTCTCAGCAAGGTCATTTAAAATTAATGTCAATGCAAAAAGACATTAATTTGTCATTGTCAAATCAGTTAATTTAAAATTTTCTCCAATAATTCACAGTTGTTTTGATTCATCAAACTTTGTTAAAAATCCTTTGAATGAGTACATTATGATTATAAGAGATATTTTCTTAAAACAAAACGTCTCTGTTCTTTTTTCTGCCATAATTGCGGGCAAATTTGTAAAACAGGTATGTAAACAATGGTTTGTTGTTACCTAGTTTTCTATTTCCATTTAAATAAATGCAGAATTTTATAACGAGAAATTTATATTTTAGGGGGCGCCAGTTGAATGACTTAGGAAGCGCGGGGGTCTTATGTCAGAGATTATACAAAGACTAAGAAATTATAAGACCATTTTTTAGATTTATCAGTTTTTGTTATATTTCATTTTTTACATTTTTCAGTTTATGTTATATAACCCAATAACCTGCGTTTGGTAAACTTACAACTTTTACAGTTATTTTTCTAAGGGTACTCTTTTAAGCAATTTAGTGTTTCAACTCATGTATTGGTTTGAGATACAAAAAGACTTTATTTAGTCAAACCTACTCATTGCACAGTGCTATGGGCAAAATTCAAAATTTTGACATAATCCAATCTGTCTAAAAATCATAAACATTTTTCTCTCTTTCTCACTCTCTCTCTCTCTCTCTCTCTCTCTCTCTCTCTCTCTCTTACTCTCTCTGTCTCTCTTTCTTTTTCTCCCTCTCTCCCAACCAAGCTATACTTTATTTTATAGTTAATATTTTCAGACATGGTGATCACAAAACTGGATATTTACATATTCTAACGCAAAAATAACTCTAATGCTCAATCTCAGCTTTAAAAAAATCATTCTTATTCTTTATAGCCAGCAAGCACACTTACGTTGGGTTAACGTATGTAAATACATCGCGAACGTCGGCTGTTTTCTCCAAATCAAATACAACGTTGATCCAATGTTACTTTAATCGTATTGATATTAATGAAAACTTAATTTTGATACTAATGAATACCTAAATATATTGATACTAATGAAAACCTAAACAACGTGATTAAAAATAGTTAGCGAAATTACAATCGTCGAACATATGCAAAAATATCACAAAATGATTGATTGTTTTTCCGATCTAAATCCAACGTTGATCCAATATATAGGGATCAACGTTGATCCAATGTATATGGATCAACGTTGACCAAATGTGTATAACCCCATATTGGTCCAAATTTTTGGATTAACGTTTATCCAATGTTTATAACGATACGTTAATCAAATGTGTATGGATTAAATATGTGCATGGATTGTATACGTTAAATCAGCATTGATGCATATACATATCTGTTTTCAATAACTTGGCTTTCATAGCAAATATGAGAGGTACAAATGTTTAGCTTGGTTTAAGTACTACATAATAAAATACATCGTTGTACAGTCATTTTGAAGGTCGTAAATTTCTTTAGCACACTCATTTTTATATATTTTTAGACTGTTTATCGTTTGACTCATGTCCCAATCTAACCTAGCGGGTTCAAAAAGAAAGGACCGCGCTGGAAACATGAGGGGGTTAAAAGGATCAACCCATTTTGAATTAATAGTCGGTAAGTCTTATCTATTTTACTCAGCTTATCAAGTTTTATTTGCGTTTTTGTATTACATTAAAGGAATAGACTGTTTTTTATGTTCACTCGTTTTTTAGAAGTCGTAACCAGCTCGTATGATTTCTCAATGTGAAATAGTTTATGTAAAAATGTAAAAAAATTTATTCCACAACGCCAAGAAACAGAACTCGCTCAAGAAACAGAAAAGAAAGAGAAAGATGAAAAAATATTCTGTTGAACAATTCCGTTGTTTTATTTATAAATTATTCTCCTATATTTAAACATATAAAAGATGTAGAAAATGCTTCCCCTTTTTTATTGACATCTAAAAGAGGTTTCTTTCTCGGCATCGGAAAAAGCTTTTTGTCATACTTTTTATGAAGAGCATTTTCATTTGATAAAAACAGCTTTTCGTATATGAAAAGTGGGAGTACTATAGTGTATAGGATACTATAGTATACTAAGTATGATGAAAAAGTCGTTCCGACCCTGAGAAAAAAAACTATTTTTTGAAGTGCATAATTGATAAACAAAGACGTCTTAAAGACGCATACTTTATGTCTTTTCATGACAATATAAAAACAAAAAAGACGCCTTTTCGATGTCGAATAAAGATGTCTTTTAGATTTGCATATTCGACTAAAATAAGGCGTCTTAAAGACGCATTTTTTATGTCTTAAAATGACAAGATTTAGATAAAAAAGATGTCTTTTTAATGTCGAAAAAAGATGTCTTTTAGATTTGCGTAATCGTTTGAAAAAAGACGTGTTAAAAATCTGAAAACAAATACTGTAAACTATAATATATATGTCAGGAATTAAGGAGATGCATTTAAGTTTGTCGTTTAAACTATAAAATGCTTTTTAGGTGTTTAATATTTTTATTTTGGAAATGATTCCATATTGATGGGCCACGGTTTGTTATTAGAAACTTGAGTGCTGCGATTTAATTTTTCTTAGGTGATAGTTGTACGCAGATTATATAAACACAACCAATAAGAATGCAATTCTTTCCAAAATTGAGACCACACCAGACTTGCTCGCTAACTTCAGTAGGTAGCTGGGACTCTGTAACTTGATAGACTGTAAGGTTGTTTTTAAAATAGATTGTAACTTCTCCTTTTGCATTGTTACGTGAAACATGAAAAGGTGCCTGGTAATTTTGTATTATGAGCGGAAAATTAGGGTCCAAGTCTCGCAGAACATTAATACATTAGCAGAATCATAATTGAGTCTCGAGTTCAGTTCGTTAATTTTATTATTGAGCGAAGTTGGGTTTGTGTAGAAAAAGCGGAGTTTATTTATAGATTGATAAGTGCTGGGTTTGATTGTTTGTGTTGACATGGGTGTTAATAGATGTGAAGCCACTTGATGCCAGGAAACTCATGGCAGCTTTTAAATCATTGGTGGTTTTGGAGTCGATAATCATCAAGATATAACAACATTTTTCAGACACTCGGACCTATCACTTGTGTTTTGAGCAAGTTGATGACGTTGTTTAATATTTTTTGAGGAATTCTCTTTGAACAAGTTTGACCAATTTGGTTTGACGGTAGTTGGCAGAATATTTTCAAGATCAGCAATTCTGATATGATACCAACAGATTGATTTTAGGTGTTGTTAAAGGTGGCACTTGGAAAAACAATATCAAGCGCAGCTTGGGCTGCAGCTTTATACATACATGAATCTGACCCGGGGAGACTCTATTTAACCAGATGTTGAACCCATTGTACTGACCTTGCATATTGGAGGCTCCATCGGTTGCATTGCCAATACATTTACCTATTTAAATGCCTACCTTTTCAAAATAGCCACAAACGAAATCACACATTCCTTTTCCAGTTGCTGATGTGCAAATGACTATCGATACAGCTTCTTAAACATACCGGATCACAATAAAACATCATTTTTGACAAAAATATAACCAAGTTACCACGGCCTCTTCTGTTGCCTACTGAACCATGCTAGAATTAGCTTTTTCTAACCATCTCTTCGATATGTACTTCCAACAACGATCAAATTTGCCAACAACCAAAAGAATATCCAAAAAACTCTCATGATTTACACTGTCATCAAGCAATGTGAAGCCAGACTCTTCTGCACCTCTGTAGCTAAATACACTCTTACTAAAAACTTTTAAATTTTCTATAATTTTTTCTAAAATTAAACGATTCTCTTTAACTTCTTCATCATGTCGGCGCGTAATGATTATAACATTTTTGGCATTGATTTTTAAAACATATGATTATGTGCAGGCTGCATGGAGAGCACTGCTTTTATATTCTGATATTCTTTGAAAAATATACTTTTAAAGTTATATCCACTAAAGAACCTTGATTGATCTTAGGCTTTGATAAATCCTAGGCAAAATGAACAAAACAGTTTTTGTGTCTTTGCCTGTGACAAGGCCTATTGTTTCTGAAATAAAACTTGTGTTAATTAATTTTAACATTTAGATCAAAATTGTTTTACTTTGGATGAAATATAAAAAATGATTTAAAAAAATCTGATAGGGGTTTCACAAAATAATTATAGTTGTTTTAAATTTCTTCACTTGGTTCGCATTGATTACTGTTCAATTTATATCGAATGTCAGAGTTTAGATAAGAGGTTACAATTCTCTTTTAGTTACATTTTAGTCTACCGTTTATTATAATAACGGAAAATAAAAATTAACCAAACTAAAAATATGATTTTTTTATGGCAACCGGCTCACTGGAAATCTCCCGGTATCCCGGCGGCCCAGCCCAAGCCTACTAGGCGGTAATGCATAACTTATTCACATCAATCACAAGCCATAACTGACAGTAAATAACTTTATGATTAGTTTGCTGATATTGAATATTTGGCTGATAACTGTTTTCATTTTATGTGTCTACTAGAAGTGCATTTGGACCAAGTCCAAATCAGCTTCAAGATTTTAGAGGTACGTATGATAAAAATAAATAAATTTTTTAATTAATTTATTTGATTAAATTAAAATTCTTTTGTTTTATCTTAATCATTTTATAAATAATTTATAATATGATAAAATAAATGGAAACAATAAATAAAACATATGAAAACAATAAATCTAATTTTTTAAAATCAAATTAGAGTGTGAAATGGTGTGTTCTAAAAAATCAACAACATGGGGCTCAGGTATATGTTGGGAGCTAGCAGAACATGTCCCAATCAAAAATTGCACAGATTCTCAACGTGTCCTAGTCATCAATATCCAAGAACTGATGACTGGGATACGTTGAGAAGAAAACTGACTAGGACAGCTGAGTTGGGAAGTTAGAAACCTCGGGAACGCTCTAATAGACCTCAAGTGACGTTAGCAGCAACTGATAGATTTATCCAAAGAACTGCGATTGCTTATCCAAACATAAGCAGTACAGGACCTGGATGGAAGATCAATAGATTAAGGTCATGTTTGTTAATGAATCAACCTTCACACAGTTCGCGTGTTACAACAGAATAGTTTCGAGACCCATCAACCAAAGGTACAATGCAAAATATGTGATCTCAACGGTCAAACAGGCCCCAAAGACCATGGCAGCTTTTGCACATCTGGGACAGTTGGTATTTGTTTTATGCTTAAGAATATGACCACTAATGAGTAAATAGTAAGTTTACCTGGATGTTATAAGAGATAAGCTTCCCCCATATATAGCAATACACTTCTGCACTCATTTTCAGCATGTTGGTGCACCCTACCACCAGCTGTCAGACGCTCTTTAGAGGAGAAAATTGTCCAGTTGCTTGGTCCATGGCCTGGTTCAATTCTGGATCTAAACCCTATTAAAAATACGTGGACAATGATGAAGCAGTAAGTCAAGAACATCCAACGTTAGAGAAGACGTTAATAGACGCCATCAAGCATATATGGGCTACCAGTATAACACCTGAGAACTGCAAATCTTTAACCTGTTCCATGCCTAATCGAATAGCAGCTGTTTTGACGGCCAAGGAACAGTTTACTAAGTACTGAATCACGAGACTACTATTGTTGTAGTTGTTAATAAATAGTATAAAACTATATATTCCAAAAATAAATAGTATAAAACTAGATTCCAAACTTTCGACCACGAATGTAGCCAAAAGTTTGAAATCACCTCATGCAATAGTTAACAAAATATCGACGTTTTTAAAATTGTCGTTGTCAAATCAGAAAGCCTTAAGAATTATTCTGTTTATAAAACCTCAAAAATTACATTTGTCCACTCTTACCAGAATCATTTCTTTCAATTTGATGTTATTATGAGTTCCAAGTAAATTCTTAAGTATTTTATTTCATACTTTTGTATTCTAACAGAGATTAAAATGTATTGCAAAGTTTAGCTCTGAATGTTGCAAAGTCTAGCTCTGAATGTTGCAAAGTCTAGCTCTGAATGTTGCAAAGTCTAGCTCTGAATGTTGCAAAGTCTAGCTCTGAATGTTGCAAAGTCTAGCTCTGAAGCGTCAGCCTTGAAAATAAAAATTGTATAATAAATATTTCGTTGGTAAACATTAAAAGCATTATAAACATTTCTATGGAATTGGTAAAATGAATTCTAACAAGATGTTTTTATTTCTCCACCAATGTTTATTTAATCAAGGTATCAATTAGTTGAGGATAAATACTAAATAAATTTTTTCTTTTGTTTGTTTAATGCTTTGCTTTATAAAGTAGATCAAAATTTTGATTTACTTAAATTTAGCAAACTATTATTTTAAATATATTTTTTGGGTTTTTTCAGGTTACATTTTTGTCAAAATACATAAAACTTGTTTTAGTTATTCATGGAGAAAATTAATTATAAAAATTATACTTAATTATATTCTATGGTTAAATCAACTGAAAGTATTATGCTGAACATCAAACAATATTTTTGCATTGTGATGAGCATGAACTAAATTTGTACTATCCGCAAAAAAAAAGTGTTGTCTAATATATTGTAAAATTTTCTTAAATCATTGATACAAACTAGAAAAATATTGACCATAATTTTAATCCTTGTGAAACACCGCACCTTATAATTATATTATCAGTTTCTCTGCAATTGTAGGAAATTTGTAGAAAAAAACATTTTATATTCTAATGTTTGAATATTTAGCTTTTTGGTTTGTTTAAAAAATAACGATTATTATTAATTAAATAAAAGACCTTATTAATACTATTATTAATTAAATAAAAGACCTAAGATTTTATCTCATACCTAAAAAGTATTTTTGTCAAAACCTTAAAATTTTTTCCAACAAGATAACCTGTGCAATGAATCTTTAAATCTATATTATGAAAAATTTCATTTCTATAAAAGAATATTGTTAATTATACATGTTTTAAAAGATTTGAAATAAGAAGTGATCGTTTAGTAATTGCTTGTATCTATTGTTTATACAACTCCTAGATAAAACGTCGAAAAACATTTACATATCAGTGGCTTATTTAAGTAACAACAATTAATAACAATATAATTAATTAATGATATAAAGCAATTTCAATTTTTTTTTAAATTTATTTACGCTTTTTTTTATTTTAGTTGTACTTCACAAATTAAATTAGTAATACTTTATAGAAATGGAAATAAAGCAAATAAACGCAATAATTTTCTACTTTCATTAAGAAAAAAAATTTAAAGTAGAAAAGTTTAATACCTTTTTACCTAACTCGTCACCAGCTCGTCAATAATTCGTTATGACGAAATGGAAGTAAAGCAAATAAACGCAATAATTTTCTACTTTCATTAAGAAAAAAATATAAAGATGAAAAGTTTATTACCTCATTACCTAACTCGTCACCAGCTCGATAATAACATTAAAAACTTTTTTTTTCTATATAATATTTACAAATAAAATATTTACAAAAAATAATTGTGTAAGTTGTATGCATTTAGTCAGGTTTTTTATAGTTTGGTCGTGAAATATGATTAAAAAAAAATTCATTTATTCGTCTTCCTAATATCTAATGCCTTCTTCATCAGGCTTTGATTGTTATGGGAGATGCTCCTCACACTGCCATCTGCTTAGATGCCCAGCAAAAGCCCTACAGATATAATTTAAACGTATAAGTTGACACGGTATATCATGCACATATGAAAAAATTAAAATATACAAAATAAGCACAGTAATATTAGTTTTTTGAGAAATAATGAAAGCGGAATTAATTGACCCCTTTCCAATCACACCCTCTTCTACGAATCACACCCTCTTCTGCCACTCACACCAAAAATAAATGCAAAAAATACATTATAATGCGTTACTACCACAATCTTAAACTTTTGATGTTTTCAATTGTCAAGTGCTCGAGATAGGAAATATAAACTTTTGATGTTTTCAATTGTCAAGTGCTCGAGATAGGAAATATAAACTTTTGATGTTTTCAATTGTCAAGTGCTCGAGATAGGAAATATAAACTTTTGATGTTTTCAATTGTCAAGTGCTCGAGATAAGAAATATAAACTTTTGATGTTTTCAATTGTCAAGTGCTCGAGATAGGAAATATAAAAAACTGTGCATAAAAATATAAAAATCTTGGTTTCTCCTTTTAGTCTTTTATTTTTATTTAGAAATGTAATTAGTTATCCTAAATATGGACTTTAAAAGCAACAATATTCAATTTAGGTTTTATTTTGACCATCAACTAATATTTAAACAAATATATATATACATATATACATATATATATATATATATATATATATATATATATATATATATATATATATATATATATATATATATATATATATATATATATATATATATATATATATATATATATATATATATATATACATATATAAGCAACAAACCAGTAAAGATATTATTTTATACAAAAAATAGACATTTTGTGTAATGCAAAGAAAAGTACATCTAAAAGTAAAAGTAAATCTCCTCATGATATCCAAATGATTTAAATGCAATTTTATTTACTTAATAAAATTATGAATACATACTTTCTTTCTAGTGATAGCTTATCTTCAGGTTGCTTGATGACTTCGTTTTTTACCTCAATCATATTCTGCAGTTTAAAAAAAATATATATATGTATAGTTTTTTCATACTTTTGATAACTGTTACAAAAAAAAAAAAAAAAAAAAATCCAGTGAATCCAAAAAAAAAAATTATAAACAATAATTTAAATTGAATACCTTTGAACTGAGCCTTCTATGTAAGACTTTGCGCTTATGCAAAGGAGAACGATTTTTAATTATACGCACTTCACTCTGAAAATTGTCCAAAGCTAATTTTCCACATTTAGGAGAGTTCAGTGAACTTTTAAATACAACTGGATATTGTTCTTTTAATGAAACTATACAAGATTTTCGTTTTCGGATTAAAGAACGACTTGGATTTACTGAGTCTAAAACATCAGGGTCTAAAGTCCGATTTTCTTTAATGATATTAGAAATTTTTTTTACGCCTTTAGACTGAAACTGTGTTCGTTTTACTGTATGTAAGTATGGAATCTTTGTTGCTTCATTCATTCGACATTGTTGGCGTAATGCTATGTAACTTTTCATATGCATTTTCTGAGTACGTACTAATGTTTGTTTGGCATCTTTAGCAGCTTCCCTTTGAGATTTCTTCACATTATTACTGACTATGTTTTTAAATTGAGAAGATTTTGGCATATTAATGCGAAAATACATTTTTTTCATTATAGAATATTGGTTGGTATTTGATGGCTGACGAATTTTTAAGAACAAAGATTGGTCAGATCCATTAATGCTACTAGGAATAGAATCATATCTAACATCTTCCATGGATCTTTCATGTTTAGCATCTTCCAAACCATTTTCAACAACATCTTCAAAGAGTTTGTCTAAGTAAACCATACAACAATTATCTTTGCACACCAAACTATTTTCTTCTTCAAAAGAATGAAGGTTGAAAATGTGTGAATTGGAAATAAATTCAACAACTGGTTGATTTTGATCTATTTTGATTGAATTATTTTCATTTGTTTTGATCGGATGAACTGTTTCCAAATTAACTTTTTTAGGAGAAAGTTGAGAATACAATGGAGGTATATTCAACAGCATATCATCTGAAGGAACTGATATTTCTTCAGAACAGCTTATATCATTCTGTGTTAACTCAGTTAAACTAATGTCCTGGTTAATAGTTTCGTTAATGCTATCACTAAAGTCATCAGTCAAGCTTACTATTGATCTAAAAAGTTCAGGCGTTTTCACTTCCTCGTCTGGATCAAAGGAAATTTGCAAATAGTTGCACCTTAATAGTGGCTTACATCTTTTCATACCGAGTAATTCCTCAATGGAAACCGACTGTGGAGAAGACATAGCTATTGGTGAAAATGTATCTAAATGGCTTGCAATCTCAAAAGATGGCGGAGCATCATAGTTAAAGCTTGTGCTCTGAAATTAAAATAATAAAAATTATAAATATAAATGAATATTATGAAGCTTAGTGAATGAAATTGAATACATAAAAAGCCAATCAAATAAAAGTCATTCAAATTCAATAAATACACTATATAAAATAATCATACAGAAAACTTTATAAAAAGATCTTTATTTTTAGTTTGACTTAATAAAAAAGAATTATTATTATTTTTACGGAATTATTATTATTTTTACGGAATTAATATTATTTTTACGGAATTATTATTATTTTTACGGAATTATTATTATTTTTACGGAATTAATATTATTTTTACGGAATTATTATTATTTTTACGGAATTATTATTATTTTTACGGAATTAATATTATTTTTACGGAATTATTATTATTTTTACGGAATTATTATTATTTTTACGGAATTATTATTATTTTTACGGAATTATTATTATTTTTATGGGTGAAAAAAAAAAAAAAAAATCTAGGAAAATAGTTTATCTTATTTTAAAACTTATTATTTTGCAATTTGTTATGAAAATTAGGAAGAGAGGAAGTATAAAAAAATTGAAAAGACATTTTGAACAGATGTGCAGAAAAAATAAACTATAGTAGCAAATTGGTATAATAAGTAATAGAGTGTAATAAAATGATTGTAGTAATAGGGTGTAATAAAAAGTAAAGATAAGCTATAAGTATGAATGATAGGCATAACTCTTTATGGAAAATCATGACCCATGCATAAAGTCTAAAAGTAATAAAGTACGCACACAGTAAAACCACTGATTTAGGACCCTTTTCCTTTGTACCCACATGTATGCCTTAAACGACTCCCCTTCTTCTGCGTCTGCATGCATTACTTATTACAAAATCAACACTTTCCCAAATGCATAGATTTTTCAAAACATTAAAAACAAAAAACTTTTTGACATTTCTTAGTTAAATAACATAATATTGATTTTTTAAAACTTGTGAAATTCAATGCTTATGTTAAAAAAAATTTAGGAGAGAGAGAACAAGAGAGATGCATTCATACATTTACTGGGTACATACTTTATGGAAGGCCTTTCTACTAATTTATAATTGCTCTGTTTTTTTAAGAACATTGAACACAATTTTGTAGAATACATTTAAAGTACATTTAAAAGGGCTTAGTAAAAATTCATTGTATGTGCCATTCATCAATTTAGTTTACAAATTTACAAAACATTGTATGTGCCATTCATCAATTTAGTTTACAAATTTACTAAACATTGTATTGCTATTCATAAATTTAGGAATACCAATAACATTTGCAGATAAAATTGAAATAAACAACAATAGTGAAATATTTATCAGCAATAAGCAGCTGACTTTTTAATTGGGTTAAAATATATCATTTACTGAAAACCCTAATCTGTAGAGAATCAACAGAGGATATCTATCTGTAGCATAGGATACAGAGGATCTGTAACAGAGGAAAGATCACATTTAAGATCAACTGTTCTAAAGAATATAAAAAAAAATTACTTTTTATCAATTGTACATATTTGTGTCATCAGCAAATAGAGCTGCTTTAGAGGCAAGATTATCAAGAAGGTCATTAATGTAAATAAGGAAAAACACAGAACAAAGGATAAAACCTTGTTGTACCCTAGATATTACTGGAAATAAAGAAGAGTATTGTCTATTAAGAATAACTAAAACACTGCAGTTAGAAAGTGAAATAAAAAATAATTTTAAAACTATCCTAGGTACGCCATATAAATTAAGCTTATGGAGGACTAAATTTTAACAAAAGTGCAATAGTTCTTGGTTGATACTTCCATCCAATGCATGATTGAACTTTTTTATTTTAATGGTTAACAAGTCAGCAGTAGAACAAAAGAAGTTTCTATGAAGTGAAATGATTGTAGTTGCCAGAGAGTAAGTTGTTAGACTAAAGCTTATAAATGTTTGAAATGCAGGAAAATAAGATTCAGTGAAGCACTTGTTAAATAGTTCAGAGAATATTGTAAAAAGTTCTAGGAAGCCCTTTTAAAAGACTGTGACAGGAATGTTGTCTGGACCAAATAAGCTGTAGAGGAGTAAAAGTAAGAAATAACTTTAGCAAAAAAGACTGGAGTATTTCAATGTATAACAATAAATTTGTTTCTTTGAAATGACTGGAGAGTGTGGTCACAAGGTGAATAAGAGAAAAGATTTTCTGCAAATACTTTTGCCCTAACCTTAAATGAAATACAAAGATCAAATCCATGCATGAGAGATTTTAGACTTGTCTATTTTAATGACGCTGTTGAAGGTTTTCTGAAAATCTCTAGAATTTCTGAGGTCTCCTTTACTTCTGAGGTAAAAGACAAGATTTAGTAATCTGAGAAAAATGGATCGTAACATTAAACAATACCTTTTAACATCAAATAATACATTTTAACATCAAATAATACCTTTTAATGTCAAATAATACCTTTTGATGTCAAATAATACATTTTAACATCAAATAATACCTTTTAATGTCAAATAATACCTTTTAATGTCAAATAATACCTTTTAACGTCAAATAACATCTTTTAAATAAAAAAATTTCTGTTTACCCCTAAAGTTTTCAACTACATGGCTTTCTACAAGACAGTAGCCAGATGCAGTTAAGATCTCCCTCAAAGCTTTACTTAAAAAAGAGCCTTAAAGCAGGGAGCTTAATAAGTCAAAATTAACTTCTTTTAGCCTTTCTCTAAAAAGTGAATCTTACAAGGCAACAAGACACAAAGCAGGTTGTACTGGATTGTATGTAACCAGTAGCAGGGTGATCATGAGCATCCTGACCTGATCAAATATTTTTCAAATTATAAAAAAAGTATTATATAAAGCAACTTACAGACATCGAATGTTGTAATTGTTCTGTGCTTACATTTAGTAAACCTCTTCCTAAGCATTTAATTCTATCTTTTGACCATTCGAAATCATCTTGATGTTTCCATTGAAAACACGAGCCTTGAGAATCAACTGTTGCAATGCTATCTGTTTCTTTTTCCTTCCATGCTACTTGCACATCACATACTACTTTCTTTGTATATTCTTTCTTAAAATGGTTTTTTAATATTTTTTTGCTTCCATTAAAGTGAGAATTTGCAAGAAAATCCCATGCATGTTCCCATTCTAGTTCAGATGGGCTTGGAGTTATATTAGCTGCATAAAGGTATCTGTCAGGAGATCCTGGGTATTTTTCTGACACTCTTTTAGTTACAATTTCCTCATTTTCTGGAAGAGTTGGTTTTTTGTCCATTATGACTAGAAAAAAAAAAATTGTTTTTTCAGATTTTCTGTGTTCACAACAAAATAAGTTTATCAAAAATTGATTACTAAAATTCCCATTTTTTGTTAAAAACCTAAACTATAGATAAACAAAATTATAGAATATATATATATTAAAGTTATTACAAATATTTTATTTTAATTATTGCAAATAAATTAACTTTAAAATTTTTTTACCAACATGTCTTCTTCTTGGAGCTTTTGACCTAACAATTTAAATGGTATAATTAATGTAAGAATTATATATATATATATATATATATATATATATATATATAAAAAGATAATATATAACAAAAAATTTGCTTATTTTATCACAAAGACAGGTTATTGTTGACACATGGTTTATCACAAAGACAGGTTATTGTTGACATATGGTTTATCACAAAGACAGGTTATTGTTGACATATGGTTTATCACAAAGACAGGTTATTGTTGACATATGGTTTATAAATGTATAAATCTAGTTTTGATTGTTATGATTATGACCAGGTTTACATTAACAACATTTAACATTTATACATGGCTTATAAAAAGTATAATAACATATTTATAACAATTCATAATATATTTATCACAACTATATTATATTCTTAACAAGGAATATGACCATGAATAAAATTCTAACTTTTTCTCTATAAATTATAAATTATAATTTTACAAAATGTGATCAATTACAAAGTAAACAAAAACATACCATGTAAAACATGTATAAAATGATGCAACAATTAGTAAAATACCCAAAGGTATCCCAAGCCACATTGCAGCCATAGAATGTTCTTTTGCTTGTTCTTTTGCTGAAACCTGTTAAATATGTACTTATATTATAACAGTATAAATATATTATAACAGTATAAATGTATTTTAGAAAAATCCTATTTTAAGTTTTAACAATAAAAGCTTCAGCAATAAGACATACTAAAATATAATACTACTATTTAGATGATATTTCAAAGTCATTTAAAAGTTCAGGTTGCAATATCATTAGGGTTTATCTTACCCTAACCATAATGATTATATATATATATATATATATATATATATATATATATATATATATATATATATATATATATATATATATATATATATATATATATATACATATATATATATATACATATATATATATATATATATATATATATATATATATATATATATATATATATGTATATATATATATATATATATATATACACTGCGACCATTTTCTATAGACGCATGTAGAATTTAGTAAATTTACAGTGTTACAGTGGTAATAAAATTGTTGTAACGGTACTTTTAAATAAGTATACGTAAGAAAACAATGATCCATTATGCATCTGATTATTAATTGTCTTGATTGTAATTAAATTTTTAATATTCACGTGGCAATTTTCTATAGACACACTAAAGTTTTTACGAGTTTTTTCGCAAATTTCTTATATTCTGTGGAATTTTTTATTTTGTGAGTCGAAATTAAGTTGAACTAAACCAAATGCCGAAAAAAAAAGGTCCTTACCGATATTGAAAAAGGTCAAATATTGGCTTTTCATCGAGAAAAAGTTCCAAATTGAGAAATTGCTAGAAGATTGAAGAGATCAGATCACGTTATCCATAATTTCTTGAAAAATCCAGCAGATTATGCAACAATCAAGAGGAAACAAAAGAAATCTAAGGTTTCAAGTTGTGAAAAACGCAGAATTGTTCAACTCGCATTAAATTCATCAAAAAGTTTGAAAACAATTAAGTCAGATTTGGGTTAAAATGTTTGCAAGGAGACAACTAGGAAAGTTCTTAAAGACAGCCCACACATTGTACAATCAAAAATGAATAAAGCACCAAGTTTGAAGCCCGTTCACAAACAGAAACGGATGGAAATTCGCCCGCGAAAACATGGCACACAATTGGGAACAAGTAAGAAATTTTAGATTAAA